ACGGGCTGGTGGAAGGGGAAATGATATCGGCGGCTAGCATGTCATCAACAGCCGATTTGACATGATCCTTTTCGGCGGGACTCAACCGAAAGGGATTTTGGCGGATTGGCGCGCTGTCACCCGTGTCAATATGGTGTCGCAGCAATTTTGTACAACCAATATCAAATTTGTGTTGACTAAAAACGTCAGCAAATTCGCTCAGGAGAACTCGCAGCTGCGCGCGCTGCGAGTCAGACAGGTCCACTGAACCCGCGCAAAGCGCATCCAGCCATCCGTCATCAGAGTCCGAACGCGGTCGCGACGGAGGATCGGTGGATACCTGACCCACGAGTGGTTCCTCACAGGGCACCGGCGTTGCGTGTGCAAGCACGGTCCCTTGAGGAACCACGGCCGTTCGCGATCCCACATTAAGGACTGCAATGAAGGGGTCCCCATCCCCTCTCACCATAGTCTGAGCCGCGAGCAAATCGGGTCCATTGACCCCGGCCCGAGATGGACCCAACAAGACCCCCCGATCCGCAACCCCTGCATCAAACGGCCGACGCAACCTAAGAGGGACGAGCATCTGAGCCCCCGGAGGCACGCGCACAGTTTTTGTGACGAGCGCCTGCACGGTGGCAAACGCCCGACGCTCCGTGGTGGGGGAAGACAGAAATGTAACGCGTCGGCCCGATGGGAGCTCAATGCACCCTTGGTCAATAAGGATACGGATGGGCATTTTGGCCAGAAAATCCGTCCCCAACAGGCACGGAACCGCGAGTGAGGAGGAAACCAAAACAGGGCCGGATAATTTAATGTCCCCAATGCAGATAGTGGCGCGGATTTGGCCAATAATGCCCAGAGAGCCCCCGTTAGCGGCATAGCACGGCACGTCAACAGGGAGCAAGGGACGACTTTGAACGGGAAGGATGTTATAAATTAAATCAGATATAATGGTCGCCGATGCCCCTGTGTCAATTAAAATCCGCACCTCTACCCCATCAATGTGACCGACCACGACCGATGATCCCGCCGACGCAGCAACGACACGATGGGCGAGCTCCGACCACTGACCCGGTTGGAGCGCTCGCCGCATTACCGAACAATCGCGCGCGACGGACGGGGAATTTGGAGCCCTGTTTAGTTGAGCGCGTGAGTGTGTGTCGGATGTGTGCGTGGGCCAAACGTGTGAGGTGCCGCGACTCGCCGTATTTCTCTGCTGGAGCTTGGGAGGAGACGGCGTGGCGTCCTGACGAGGTGTCGCCCCGCGCTGACGGGGAGCCCGGCATCCAGACGCAACGTGGCCTTGCAGGCCACAGTTGTAGCAGCGTGTGAGCGCCCCAGATGACCTGGGCTGCTCCTGGCGGCTCGGTCCATTCCGAGCCTGCGGTGCCGCCGATCTCCATTCCCCTCGCCGCTCCACCCCGCAGACCTCCTCCGATGGGAGGGCGGTGGTCGCCATGGCATGGCCGGCCGCCCCCTTTGCCGCCTTCCGACGCAGGGACCGCAAGCCCCCGTGGATGTGGCGCGCGACCAGCAGGGACGACATCTCCGCGTCGTCCTGAGCCAAGACGTTGACGTCCAGCTCGTCAGCGAGTAGCAGCAGCTTCTCAGCCACCATGGCATCCACTCCTTCCTCGTCCATCCTTGGGAAAGCAGCCTTTGCCAGAGCCAGGAGAGCCGTCCGGAAGGCCAGGGGTGACTCGTTGGCGCCCCGACTCCGATCGTGGAACAGCTGCCTGCAGTCCGAAGGCGGCCCATAGACGGCTGACAGCAGCTGCAACGCCAGGTGTAGAGTGGCGCGCTTTTCCCTCGGCGCCGAGGTGAGGGTAGCCAGGGCGTCGTTGTCCAGCATCGCTGGCAGCGCGCGTAGAGCCTCGGCGTCCGACCAGTTCGCCATCTCTTGATGAGCGATGAACCGCCTCTTGAAGCCGCCCCAGTCTCCGTCAGCGCCGACAAATTCTTTAAGAGGCGGCAGACGCTGTTGTAAGGCGGCGTCCGTGGCCGCAGAACGCTCTCCGTCGCTCCCCGCCGATGATACAGTGTGGGCGGGCCGTGCACATGGCATCGCCGGTCGCTCTGATGTTGACGCGCCGGCCGGCGTTGATGATGTCACGGCTTGTGCTTGGCGCTCAGCAGACACGTGACGCGGGCCGGCCCCGCCCTCCGCTCGTACTGTAGAGATGGCGGGAAATTTGACCGCGAGCCGCGTCGGGGTGGCGGGAAACGTCGCCCCGCGCCGGCTGCCGTCGTCGACCCGCGCTGCTCCTCCAGCCCCCAGCCGCGTGATCTCCTCCAACGCGGCGGCCGCGGCGTAGAGCAGGTCCGCCAGGCGGGAGTGGGCCAGCCGGAGTCCTTCGGCCGACGCATCCCCCTCCTCCTGTCGTAGCGGCGCGGGCGTACTCGGCCCCGGCTGCTCCGATTCGACCCCGGCCATCACTGGTGGAGATTCGGCCGCGGCGTCTTCCATCTCCGACTCCCTGGTACGTGTCGTCCCTCGTGTGTCCATCGTTGGACGTTTACTTCTGACACCAGATGTAGTAAGTATATATGGAGGCTTGACGACAGGATCGGAGGCACACTTATTTATTACACCAACACAGTTGTACAGGTCACTTGGCTACAGGGATTCTCGACAGCTAACCCCTCTAACCTATACCAATTCCTCCACTACGGGACTAGGGGAGGCTATCTGTCCCAGCTTGGTTAAGCTGGGATCCCGGCTCCCTGAGTCACCAGACCAGCTTCGTCTGGGCTCTCGGGGCCACGCCACCGGCTTGCCCTGGTCGGCCCTTATAAGGACAGCGAGCCAGGGGAGCTCTGGGGCCTACACTAGCTGGTCTTCCGTCTTCTCTGGTTAAAGCTGAGTCCCGACCTCGAGCCCTCGAGCTCATCACCTTTTATAGGACTCGCCCCCGAGGGGGGGGCCCGTGGGGGATACACATGCGGACGTCGGTGCTAGCGCCACCCTTGTGTACGGCCGTAACCCCGCCCATTGTGTTTGTTGGCCATCCGTGGCCATGCATAATCACACCTCAACATTCGTAGCCATGCGCAATTACACCTCTACAATAGGAAAGCGTTTGCTGATATTTCGAAGCAAAATATAAAAAGGGGAAGCTCTTTCCAAATGTCATGTTCGACCGTGTAAGAGGATACACGAGGTTTTATATAAAACATACATTTCCATGTTTTGTTTTTAATTAATCTCTTGTCGTTATTCTGCAAGCATAAAGATTTGTCTTTAAACATGTCTACGAGACTGTTTTGCACAATTTTATCCTCACTTTGTCATAAGCGTCATGCCGTGAGATAAAGGTCCATTGGAAACTCTTGCAGAGCAGTGCATCTGCCTTGGTAGAGAACGGCCTTTGGAAGTAGATATCAGAGAACTTCTGAGAGCCGTTTAAGCAGGCCTCTTTAACCCATACTTTATCATATACCCTGCTATCGCAAAATGTTTGTTGCATAGTGATGAAACATATATTTTCTTTAATTCTCAGAGCTGGAATTTAGCCAAATCGATTTAAAAACCAAGTTTAACAAGATGTTTTTTGTATGCAGTCAATCATTATTGAGACGAGAACATCAACTCACTACGCTTGAGATTGTACCGTGTGTTTACCCAGGAAAAGTTCACCGAGTCTCAAGACTGTTTCAGAAAGATCCTGCCATGTTTTCAGACAAAGCGGTGATGGTGCTGTGTGCAATCCCAATTGAGTAATTGTCAAGTACTATTTTAGTATTCAGATGTTCAGGCCAATACCAGTTCCACTGTATTTTTTTTAACTATGGGAAGAAACCAGAGAACCTGAAAGAAAATCACGCAGAACAAGGGAAGAGCGTATAAACTCCACACAGTGCTCATGTTGGGAACCTGACCCAGGCTCTTCTTTTCTGTGTCACCTCTGCGCCACACAGCTGTCCCCAGAGATACTTGCTCAATCACAGATAGTTGCCTGGATTAGAACCCAGGTCTTAGCATTACCGGCTGACTGCTTTGACCTCTGGGCCATATCACAAACGCTTCAAAGTCACGTGTTAATTAATTTAACACCTCAGCAGGTGCCCTGGTGATATTAGATGTCAAGTGATGTTTACTGGTTGGTATTATAGGTTAAACTTACCCGCTTATTTAAACACACATCTGTTTGCCACACGTACTCTTTAATACATCAAATATGAGGTGTAAATATCGCGATAACACATCGGACCATTAGTTTCATTCGTGTGCAAAACACACATTCCACAGATGCATAGTTGTATGTATGCTGAACTTCTTTCGCACCGTACATAGGCAACCGTGCTAATCGTTGATGAAAGTTCACTTTCAATGTCTACATGGAAGCTGTCACTTTTACAGTATGTGGGCAAGTCTGTGACCATTTTGTACCTGCATATGTAGGTATATACTTCCATGTATGTGTCCTTGTGTATTATTGCGACTGGGCATGCTATGGCCACACCACCCTTATATTCGCTGTGCTGGTCTTTATATAAATTATGTAGTGATACTGCGTTTGAAGTGGCGCACAAACACTAATAACAAAAATAACAAACACAAAAACAGAAAACTCAACACAGCCATCGATAAACGTGCCATCTGTGTGTTATGATTCGTGACCAAATTGCCCAAAACGTCGCCTATTATTTACTTTTAATTTTAAGGCCATACACAGGGTTGTTGACAAATGTGTTGAGTATTTTACGGTTACTCACCAAGAACATACATACTGTACTGTTGTCCATGAGGTCAAACAGGTCACGTTTTTTCATACGTAGTACTCACATCAGCATATTTAACCACGTACGTTTCTAAGTACGTTTTCAAAACATTTCAACATCCATCTCAATTACATTTTTTCTCTCTCGAAAAGTCCACTGCACAACACGCAGCATTTCAAAAAAGGCGCATGCATTTTAAAAACATCTTTTTGAAAAACATGTGTGCGCGGCTTCTTAAATGTCAACGATTTTATGAAGAGATCATTCCATGAAGGCACAATTGTAAAATAATATACCTTCTCTTCCACTCTGTCCAGTCTTGCTCCAATGGTATACTTGCTTCGATCTTTCCCCTTCTCTGTTTATAAACATATAGAACAAAAAAATCCCGTCACTTGGCCAAGAGGCCTTTTTAAGCATGCATCGTTAACCAAGTCCTTTTTGGCATTGGAATTATGCAGTTGTAAAAAAACATTTTTCTTTCAAGAAAAAAAGCAACGTTATACCAAAACTGTCTGTATATTCACACGTCTGTTTTGTTAATAGCCTTTGTCGGTAATAAAATATTGACTTGCCTGACAGAAACATGTTGGGTTTACCCAGTGAGTGATCCAGCCTGTGGGGGAAGGCCGGAAGGGTGGTTTAGCAAAAAATATAAAAAAAAACATTTACATTTTACATATTATCACATACTAATACAGACAAAGTGTAAGATTTAATTGAAAATACACAACACGTTTGTTGAATTTTAGGTAACAATGCTGTTTTCCTTTTAGCATTCACCTCAGTTCGGTTAGGACTTTTTAGTGTGATACCACAAAGGCACGTATATGTCACTGCATGGACGAAAAGCAGCGATGGAGTAGAATGCAGTTAAATTAGACAAAAAACATGTCCATTTGTTTGTGCAAGGCCCCATGCAACATAATTACTCGGCCTGAATCGATTCACCTCACCTGCACCCTCGTGATGCAATGCATTTACACAATTCGGGATTGAGAATCTATTGAAGAAGTGACTTTTTATGTTTTAGGGCATTAATTCTAGATTTGAAGCTTTCGTGACTGCAATGATTCATATTCTTAGGTTTTTTCGGTAAAGTCACGTAGGTAAAAACATTAAAAAGTAAAATAAAATAAAAATCACGACGTTTCGGAGGCAACACAATTTGTGGTTATTGTAATGCCTCTAGTAGCTGCAGGGGTCACATAACCTGATTACATACGAAATACACCAATCTAAAATAACCAATTTGCACACGCACAGTTAGATCCGTGTATTCATTTCAATCCATTAATTGATTCGTTATTAAATGCCGAATAATAATTCATTAATGTTGGCTACTTGTGCAGGCAGTTCAATGTTAACTCAAACCAAAACCTTTTAGGTTACGATAAATAATTATTTGCCGTAAACTTTTGTGTTGCCATTTTATTTAATACACAGGAATGGATGTGTAAAATAGTATGAGTTGAAAGCAAAAAAAAATAGTTAAATAGGATTATTTTATGCCGAATGTGACTGCTCAGATGAAAGATTTGATTAAAGGGCTAGGCATCCAACATTAGTCATCGCTGTGACAAGCGAGAGGCACAAGGGAGTCACACGAGAAGTATCACTGGGAAACAACCATGGAAAACGAAAACCTCGTTACAATTGTAAATGGTGCGTACAAATAATTGAACTGAAATTGTGGATACGTAGCTTAAACAAAATAAAGAAGAAAACAAGGCCTTTAATCAAAGCTCAAATGGCAATAAAAGAGAAAAAAAACCTCAGACATTGAAAAAAAATACTATTTGGAGGCTGGGTCATCGAAAAGTTAATGGGAACTGAAACTCAGCAATCCAAATCAAAGCTTAGTTAAACCTGAAAGTGAACAGGTACTTACTTGAACGTTTAATAAACAGGGGGGCGGGGAGGGGAGTGAGGAGTGTGTGTGTGGGGGGAGTTGAGCTTAACCTGCGCTGCAGCTCTTTGATTCGCACCATCATATTGACATGTCCTTGCGAGTACTGCTCTATCACGTCCCTCACGTCGTAGGGTTTCTTGGCTTGCTGCAATATCAGAATCGGTATCTCTGTTTAACACTGGAGGAGGAATCTGATGAGCTATGAAGCTCTGTGTCACAGATGCCCAGTGGGGGCGGGTCAGCAAGTTACAACAACAAACAACGATAGGAGTACATAATAGAGAAAAGGTAGGCAAGTAACGAAAAATAAGTAAATTAATAAACATAAAGTATACAAGGCCAAATTGCAAAAGTACATAAATGCATGCCGATTTTTCGACACTAACTGCAAGCTTGGGAAAGGCATAAAAACAAAAACGGTCCCAGACCACACCAAGTGAACACAGTCGCTCAATAAAATTGCACATTCGATAGCCACAGGCACAATGGAAAGAACAGTATCAACAGCCCCAAAACACAACACTCCCCAATCACCACGACAAAACACACAAGCCCTGCTCAACGAGAAACACCGGTAAAGGTGCAGCCCTGAAAGTGCTTGTCCATTCCGCTCATAGTACGTCTCCCCACTCGAGGGATCCTCTAAGAGACAGAGTGAGAGAGAGTGAACCTTGGCCTACTGTTCCACGTTGATCCGTCTATCGACTAACGGTAATGCACTTATTTATATTGCTGCCATAAGCAAAGTGAGATAGGTGGGTTCAAGAAAACCATACTCTTTGGTTCTTTCGATAAAGTCACGTAGGTAAAAAATACAATAAAATAAAAATAAGAGATAAAAATTGAAATAAAAATTGCAACACAAGCAATCATCTGATGATTGCTTGTGTTGCAATCGAAACGTCGTGATTTAATATACTTTTATTGATTTGTCTACTTTTATTTTATTTTTTACCTACGTGACTTTACTGAAAGCAACAAAGAGTACGGATCCTTGCAATCACGAAAACTTCAAATCTAGAATTTAAGAAACCTGCCCATTGTTTTAACTGCCGTGCCGGGAGATCAGACCTGTGAACCTCTAGAATGCGTGTCAAGTGTGCAAATCTGGCAGCATTCCAATGATAAACACATTAACCAGTCATGTTTTAGTACTCAATGCTGAGATATTCTACATTATAGTCGCTTGGTTGCTGGAGGGTATAGCCCATATGCAAAGTGAAGGTGAATTTAAAGGCCTGAAACCAGAATTTGTCATTAGTGTATTGGCTTGACTCACTTTTCAATGAGCATTACAGATTTTGCTCATTGGGTACCAATGAGAACATCACCAATACATGTTCCTGATCACAGCACATATCAGAACCTAAGCAGATTTGAGTCTTTATAGTGCTTGGATGTGTGACCATTATGCACAACAACTTTAAATAGGCTGCAAAGACTATATGGTGGGCAGCAGAGGGCAGTGCACAACATTGTTGTACTGTACTTAAAGCTTTCGTGACTGCAGGAATTCATATTTTTGGGTCTTTCGGTAAAGTCACGTAGATAGGTTCAAAGAAAATAATAAAAAATAACAAAAAATTACGACGTTTCGATCGCAACGCAAGTGGTCGTCTTCAGGAAAATAAAACGTCGTAGTTTTCTGTTACTTTCTATTATTTTCTTTGAACCTATCTGCGTGACTTTACCGAAAGACCCAATAATATGTTGTACTGTACTTCTGTGCTTCTAGTATTCAACAACCCACACCGATCAGCGCGGTGAAGCATGGAAAAATGTCTCCCAAGAGGTACGTGGTGTGCAGGCCGTCATCCAGCAGTGGATTTACAAAAATGCAAACGTTTATAATACGTAACACATGCACGCCGAGCAGTGAGACAATGCATTTCCTATGCATTACATGGATGCATTTTAATATGCCCAGCACAGTGGGAATACAAGCACTTGTGTACGTTCCTAGAATTGACCCCACAGAGTTATTTCCATTACATGCTCTTACAGAATTCATGTTTTATCTTATTTATACAGCCACAATGCTCACGACCCTGATGTGTGTGCACACGCTAACACACACGTGCGCAAACAGTTTTTTTCAGTTTGAAATAAAAAAAAGAATGCTTTCCTATCAAAATTTTAATAAAAATGTGAGCGTTATGCACATTAATCATACGTTGTTTTAAGTATGTAATACTATTAATACAAGCTATACATTTTTCGTGGAAGAATTCACCCCTTTCTTGATAGCTGTCATAAATCGGGATCGCGATTTGATTTGAGATATAAAAAAATATTTTATTGGGCGAATATTAGCACCTCTAGTGGCTGCAGAGATTATGTGAAACCATAACAAACATGTACAACATGTACAAACATGTACAAACATGTACAAATACAATCATTCAATGCACGTAATCAATATTCGGTATATATGCGAGCGTAGCGACTCTAGTGAGATGCTGGCGATGAGTAGAGCGGTGATGGTGTGGATGATATGTGTAGGTTCGTAGCGAGACGCAGGGGTGGAGACTCTTTGCACAACAAGAGAGAAATCGCAATCGGACCATCTGGATTTGTGTGGGATAATTTTTGTTTGTTTAAGGTTTACTTGGTTAAAACCCATCCAAGTCCGTATAAAAAGCCAGAAGTTTTACACTATCTAATTATTTTATGTTCTAAATGTGTAACCCTATTCTCCAGATAACGACACCCCGCCCCCCCCCCCCCTGTGTTTGATTGCAAAAGTTGGGAGAAGCGTCTTACAATCCGGTAGCTGTGTTTGTGTGTGACCAGATTTGTACGAATGTTGGGTTGCATCTTACTTTCCAGAGCATCTTATAATCCAGAGAAGGCAGCATAACGATTATTTCATCATTGGCAATTGGGGAATCACAGATACACATTGGATTTGTTTTAAAATGTGTATGTGTTTTTTGTGCTTAACTCACCTGAAATTTACTCCTTGCTACAAAATACTGCATTCTTCGAATAACCCTTATGGCAATCTTGTGGGATTCTGTCAACCTACAAAAAAACAATGCGTATTGTTAGAAAACAATAACCCAAAGAAAAATAAACGGAGTTTTAAACACTCACGAATAAACAAAGGACTGCCACCTGAAGTCCTTCACGTAAACCTGGAAACCAATAAGACAATGTGGAATATAAATAGAAAGCATAAGGCTCTATTCCTTACATTGTCTACAGACACCATCAGCTGTACGAATGTTAAAACTCACTCAACGGAAGGGAAACGTAATCAGGGTAGACAAAAGTTGTACTGTGTATACCAACTTACCGCACAGCAGACGGCTACGGCAGTGGGACCCAGGGAGTACCCATTTGCACATATCAAACGATACCAAGAGTCTTCTTGGTTCTTTCGGTAAAGTCACGTAGAAGGGAAATAATAAAATAATAAAAATAAAACATAATAAAATAATTCTCACGACGTTTCGGCCACAACGCAAGCAGCCGTCCTCAGGTGAAGAACAGGTCTGTCGGGAAGACAGCGTCTGAATGAAAAACCATTCAGACGCTGTCTTCCCGACAGACCTGTTCTTTTCATTCAGACGCTGTCTTCCCGACAGACCTGTTCTTCACCTGAGGACGGCTGCTTGCGTTGTGGCCGAAACGTCGTGAGAATTATTTTATTATGTTTAATTTTTATTATTTTATTATTTCCCTGCAGTCACGAAAGCTTTAAATCGAAAGATACCAAGAGTGTTTGACTAACCAGAAAACATCCAAACACACTCAACTCTAAATGTACTAATGTTCCCTCTCACCAAAACGCATCGAATATGCCCACTCTCATCAAATTTCAAAAGGTGACTGGGCCCGGTTAGTGCTTGGATGGGCGACCGCCATGCATAACAGGTATTATAGGCTAAGTTATGTGGTGCGCATCAGAAGGCAGTGCTGCAGCAAAATCTTTTGTTGTGCTGTACTTCTATGCAACCAAGTCTATGCTTTCCGCCGTCGCTGACTGCCACTGGACCAGGGTGTTCAAATAATCTCCACGACCGTACAGCGTGGGGAGGCCATCATCCAGCAGTGTATTGAAAACTGCTATACATGTACATGTGCCAGCAAACTAATGGTGCAAAACAAAAACACACTGCATTTTTTAAAAAAAGATTTTTGTTCGATGCAGTATAGTAAAAAACTATCCAAATGATTTACAGTTCATCTTCTTGGTTCTTTCTATAAATTCACGTAGAATGGAAATAATAAAATAATAAAAATAAAACATTAAATATTTTATTCTTATATTATTTTATTATATTATTTTATTATGTTTTATTTGTATTTTTATTATTTTATTATTTCCATTCTACGTGACTTTACCGAAAGAACCAAGAAGATGAATCCCTGCAGTCACGAAAGCTTTAAATCGAGATTTACAGTTCTTTGTCAATCCCAGGTTGGATCAACGCATCCCCAAGCTTTAACGGTTATGGCGGCTATTTCGACCACACTTCAACTATGCTGGTCTCCACAGGATGGTGTAGGATATCACTCGCTACCGATGTTAGTCATGGACGGGAATCACGTTCAGGATTCCTGGGTTTATAACAGTGTGTTATCTTCTCAGGTTTTTTCGGTAAAGTCACGTAGGTAAAAAATTAATTATAGGTGAAATTCCTCCCCGTAGAGGGTATTAATTCTAGATTTGAAGCTTTTGTGACTGCAAGGCATATTCTTAGGTTTTTTCGGTAAAGTAGTTTTTTCGGTAAAGTCACGTAGGTGTTATTTACTGCACCACCGCTTCATCCAATGATGTCGTCAGGCTGTAACCAAAAAAAGCAATGACCTTTATCTTCAATGTTTTATGCAGGGATTTGTTGTTACTATACACCTCTGGTCCACATACTGGATAGTAATTGCAAGTCTCGAGATGCAGCAATAAAAGAGCTTCAGTGCATAGAAAGGTTATTTTTGCTGTCCAAAATCGGACGGCAACAAAGGAGAGCAATACGTTTTGCCCAACCTCTGTCGACATTTCCAATTACTTTGTCGCCACCAGGTCTATTCACTCAGCAATTTCACTTACAGCTTATCAGTCTGCCGCCTGATACCCATCTCTGGCTATGTATCTCTTCGTAACTCATACCCAGCCACAGCTTAAACCCTGAGGGGGTGGGGGTGCATTGGAGGCTGATGTTGGGAGTGGAATGGTTTGCTCTGCAACTTTGGAGGATTTATTATATTTTTTTTATCGCGACCACTCTACCCTCAAAGAGTTGAAAAGTTTTTAAAAAGCAAAAAGATGACAGTAAATAACAATAATATGTCTACGATGCATATTGCCTTTCATAAAGCTAACGGTGTTTCTTTATTTAAAACATATTTGAATGCATTCCTGTGTCTTACAGTGAGAATGTGGTAATGGATAAAAATGAAGTTATAGATTAAAACCGCGCAATGAATCACAAGCGTCGCTGAATCTCGTCCCAGACGAGCGCAGGATGCTCGCGAGCACGAGAGGAGTCCGCGTCAACGCGACGAGATGAGCTCACGGAGAGAGAGAGGGAGAGATTCCCAGCGGTCGTTGTCTTTCAAGCGAAACCCCTCTGCTCGCAACCCGTCGCAAAACCAGACGCACGCTACGGCACAAGCAGCCCCCCGAGCAGCGCACGGCTCTGTCTCGTGTCCCGCGCTGTGGCACGGGAAGGATCAGACGCAAAACGGTGGGTTCTGGCGGCTGAGAGCAACGGCTTGGATTCCAGACAAAGCACATCAGGGTCCCCCCCCCCTTTGAAAACAGCTCCTGTCTTAAGCGATGCTGTAATCAAAGGCAAAAGCGGCTCGCTGACATATACCCAACGTTTTTAGCTTTCTTTCTTCTGACATAGGGTCTAATCTTAATCTGCATCAGGCGTCTCTTTAACACGGGGTGACTCGCTTGCTATGAGACGCTCAGGCGGAAAGAGTACATGTTTACTGCATTGCTTTCCTGTTTCAACACGAAGACACACTTTTAAGGAATATGTTATTCGCTTATCATATAACATATTTGTTAAAGATCCAAAATACGCAACTGTACGAATTACACATAAACTGGGTAGAATGGTGGTGCAGGAGTTTGCACACTGCGCTATGAACCTAGCAATGTGAGTTTGATCCCTGGCCAAAGTCAACATCAGTTATTGATATCTGAACTGGTTCTGTCTCCATCTTCACACCGATTTGCACTGATCACTGTGGAATGACACAGAGCTGTTCAATAACTACAATTGTTGTGATACAAACATACAAGAAATGTAAACTGAGACACGGGCCTTCAGAAATATCCATTGGGCCAAATGGGATGTGGTGCTCATTGCTGGTTGCTGATATGAAACGGAGGAGGTTAACACATCTTATGTGATAAGGGATTATCTGGACAACTTAGTTACACCACAGTGCAGTTCATATCGCTAATACAAAGACACCGATTGTATATTTGCTCACCACCGAAATATAAAGATGTAGTCATTTATTTTACTTCAGTAACGCAAGTGTATAAACGATGAAGACGGCTTAATAAAGTGTTCAATTACATAATTCGATGTAGGTGTTAATTACACCTTCAGTGTGTGCAGTACATTACAACAAACATCGTGCAGCTATAACAAAATCATTGCAAATCTTTGCAGCTTCCCGTCACTCTGTGCAATGAAAGTTCTTCATAAAAGTATTAACACTTACTACGCAATGCAACTCAGGTTTTTCGTGGGCATTTTCTCAGAAAGCTTATCACAAGTCAAAATCACGTGCAGAAATCCCCTTATTTTCTCAGAAAATAAAATGTATATGAAGAGATCGACATCGAATAAAAAGTAATCTCGCATAAACCCACATACAGTTGTATGTTGTAAACAACACATTCCTGTGGTACAGCCCTGCTATGGAATAAAGTAACAAAGTATATTCACAAACAATGTATTGAAGGTCACATTGTTGACGGGTTTGCACGGAGTGCAGCAGCCTCTCCTGTCCACCGAATCCATGTCTGATATAAGAATTTCCTTTTGTCTTGAGGCACGTCAAAGCATAACCAGCCAAATCGTCCCGAGTGAATGGCTTTCTCTGCCAAGTTACCCACAGTAGGACAAAATCTCCTCAATGCCAAGTCACCCACACAGTCAGCTGTTCCACTTCACTTACCCTTTTCTTGCCCACAGTGGTCTGACAATTGCAAAATGTAGCAGGGATAATTGGTTTATTTTAACATGGGTACAATAAATGCAGCGCTATATTTCGTCAACGGACTAGTACAATGTCACAAAAAGGTGTAGCGTATTAGCAAAGACAAAAACAAGTTTAACACATAGGCTTTCGCGACCAATATCCATAATAGCGTTTTTTAGGTTAGATCGCGTAAATATAAATGTCACGTTTGCCAATGCTAATTGTAATTACTGGCGAAACGTCGTACTTGAATTATAAATTCTGTGGGTTTATTCTCTAAACCACCAGTGTGCTGTACTAGTCACGAATTGGCATATTTTGTTTACGTGACAAACTTTACGAATTGGCTGTGTCGTGTAGTGGTGGGTTTAACGACGCTTTTATATTTACGCGATCTAACCCAAAAACCCTCATATTGTGGACACAAAAAAATACTTTTCCAAGTCTTCCTAGAAGGGCATCTATTATATAGACCAGCACAAGCACACAGGGAGGTGGTATGGTCATAACCTCAATGCCCCAGCTCAGCCAACTTTGTCTCCCCAGTGTTGGTGTCTACACACCATAAAAGTTATGTATTTTATGCTGATTTGACCTGGCGGAGGCCCAGGCCAGTTTTAGATTCCAAATGCCATTGGCAGGAAATTAACTTGAGCAACCACGACAGCAGCGCATTATCTGATCACTGTGGCACCGCTCCCCGATAAAACCCCGAATGCACACGTCCCGTATAGTCACTGCAAATGTCGGATGTCAACAAAACATTTCTTTGTGTATTAACTTTTAAAATTAACAATAAAGTTGAAAATTGGAAAATTCAAGCAAATTTTTAAATGCCACAAGGCTCC